GGTCGGTGAAGGAGAGGAAGAACCTCAGCCAAGTGGATTGTCATGGTGATTGCCGTAATGGACTCTAATAGAGAAGTATGAGGATGGCACAGGATAGAATAGGGTTCAGCTCTTTTGTTCACAGGGTCACTATGTGTCATACTTGACTCAATAACACCTAACAACAACAGCATATATACATGTATTAAGGTTTATTTAAACATACTTATTTCCAGGTTTGTATTTTAGTGGTTATTTCTTCCTCCCCTATGCTGTTCTTTCTAGTTTCATCTAAACCAATATTGCAAACAAATACCTACCAGCACCATGATGATGATAGCATTTATTTCATATTTACTATTCACCAGGCATTGCACTAAGTATGCAAGATGTATTTTATCATTGAGCTATAGGAATTAGAGAGGAACATTATTCATGTTTTATAGAGAAGGAAACTAGAGAAAGACTAAATAGTTAATGTATGGTAGAATGAGCTTGAATTTAAACATAGACCTTCTGTTGTCTGGGTCCAAACTGGTAAGGCCTGAGCTGTCCTAAGAAATAAAGATTGCGTTAAAAGTTAAAAAAGTTTTATAGATGCATATTTTGCCCGTACTAGCACTGTTGTTGTTATGTGCCATGGAGTCGCTTGCGACTCACAGCGACCCTATGTACAACAGCCCTAAACCCTGTTCTGTCCTGTGCCAATCTCACTTTCTCCATCACACCCACCCCAATCACCCCAGTCACTGAGTCAATCCACTTCATAGAGGGTCTTCCTCTCTTGCGCTGTCCCTCCACCCTCCCAAGCTTGATGTCTTTCTCCAGGGACTGATCCCTCCTTGCAGCATGTCCAAAGTATGTCAGATAAGGCCTCAGAATCCTTGCCTCTAAGGAGCAACCAGGCTTTACCCTCTCCAGGATGAACCTGTTTGTTTTCTTAGCAGTCCATGCATTAGGTTAGAATAAAAGCATCTTCTTTTGTACTTTCTAAGATTCTAAACCATCCAACAAACTTTTTTACAATCTCTGTTTGTGGAATTGATGGCTTTGTCTCTACTTTTTCAAAAAATGGTGTTATATACTTAATAAATATATATGGCCTAGGTTTTTATCAATCTCCTTTGTACTTAATTTTCTGTATCTTGGAAAAACTTTGTAATTTCTTTTTTAGACTTAAACTTTTTATTAAAAATCCTTTGTTAAGATAGAATTTTCATATGTAAGGAATGCAGTGATTGCAGGCTTTGTAGTTATACAATTAAAATGATCCATAAGAAATTAGTAAGTATGATAACTCTAAAAAACAAATATCCTGAAATTGTAAATGCTGACACATTCTAGACACGAGAAATAGATGCTAGACTTTAAGCCAGTATGGGTTAGAGCAGTAATTTCTAGTTACTTATTTTTTTTTAAGTTTTCTTCAAACTTGGAAACCTTTGTAATTTTTGAGACTTGCTATCTTTATGGGCCATCTTACACATTAACAGATGGCATTGTTTTATCTGCTGTAATACCATCTATAACGTCAACTTAGTATATCTCAGTAACTCATTCCTACAGAAATAAAGAAAATCCACATCATGCAGAAATGGAGGGTAACTTCATCAGATAAAAAGATGGAAGATGGCATTATTATTTAACTCTCACATGACATCATTACATATCTGAGAATCATGGCCCAGCCAAGTTGACACACAACCGTAACTCTCATAGCTGTCATTGCTCTTGGCTTGTATGTCAGTGTTTGTTACTGCCAGGCAGTAACTTGTTACTTTCATAAGTTTGTTTGTTACTTTCATAAACAAAACAATCAATAGTGTAATTTTATTTTGTCATAAATGTGAAATGTCTTTTAACAAGAAGGTTAGGAGTAGGTGACTTTAGTAAATGCCTTTAAATGCTAAGTACTGCTATAGAGCCTATCACCCTTACAACACCCATTCAACAATGTTTAGGGAATACATATTGTAATCCCAGCACTGTAGGAATGAGAGAATGATTATTTTTATCACTGAACTGACAGTCTACTGGGGGAAACCAGACAATGAAGCAGTAAGTACAAGTATCTTTTCCATTATGAAAAGGGGCAAGACAGAGAGGAAAGGATGGCATGGAGATTCACTGGTCTAGAACTTTGAGGCATGAACTGCAAAAACTAAAGCCACATTCAGAATAAGATGGGTTTTCTTACAAGCCAGAAAGATTACCATGTTTTATTGACTGCAAAAGCATTTGCTTGTATGGATCAGAAGAGATGATAAATAAAATTGCAAAAATAAGAATTCCAGAATACTTAATTGTGTTTATCTGAAACTTGCCCATAAACTAAGGAGGAGACCTTCACACAGAAGCAGGAGATCTGCATGGTTTGAAATAAGTAAAAGTATGCATCAGATTTGCATCCTTTAAACATACTTATTTAATCTGAATGCTGAGCAAGAATCAGAATCCGAGAAATTAAACATATATATATATCAAGACTTGTGAAAGACTCATTAACCATCTTAAATATACAGTTCACACTACTTTTTGAAAACAAGGATGACTTGAAGGACTTAATGATGATGAAGTTAGTGTGTATTACATTAAAACATAAAGAAAATGAAAATTCTCACAGCTGGACTACACACACATCATAATTAAAAGAAGTTGATAAGAATTTCATTTTACTTGAATCTTTAATAAGTGCCTGTGGAAGCTGCAGTGGACAAGATGTCAGATGCTTTTTGCATTGAATAAATCTGCTTCAGTGAACTTTTTCAAAGTGCTAAAGAGCAATGATGTCACTTTGAAGACTGAGGTGTGCTTACTGAAGTCATGACACTTTGAATTACATGTATGCATATCAGAGTTGGCCAGTGAATAAAGAAAAATGAAGGAAAAAAATGGTGCTTTTGAATTGTGGTGTTGGTGAAGAATATTAAGTATACTATGGACTTAACAGTAAGGGTAACTAAGGGTGGGGTCCAGCCTGCGGAGCCTGCTCCAGGCCCTAGCTTAAAATCCTTCATGAGGCTTGGGGACGGGAGTCTCCCTCCACTCTGGAAGTCAGCCAGTTAAGCCGGTGGGATGGCTGGTGCCTCCATGGTGGCTCCTCTTGGTGGCAGTCAGGCAAGGGAAGTTTCTGGGTTCTTTTGCATTGTGTGTTACTGTCCTTTTTGGTTTTCAAAGCTGCATGGCGGCCCTGACCCTTAGAGTTAGGGTAAGTAAGGGTAGGGCCGAGCCTGCGGAGCCTGCTCCTGTCCCTGCCTTAAAATCCTATGGACCTTGGGCCAGCCTTTAATTGTTTTTGGTGAAACATTCTTCTAGGTCCTGTAACCCTGGTATGTCCACCTGCTGTACAGAGGTAACTTGTAGTTGCTGTGAAGGTGAACACCGTAACACTGATGAGTCAAATGTGAGAATGGTTACCCATGTGGACAGTGTTTGGTGAAGCTCCCCGATTAAAACAAGCCTGGAAGCAGGAGTGGCATCCACTTCCATAATAGCTGGTCTCTGGAAACCCTATGAACCTGGAGAAAGGACCGAAGTTATACAGGAAGTGTCCAGGACTTTTGTTCATAGGGTCGCTATGAGTCACCTGCGACTCGACGGCACTTAACAACACAGCAACAACAACATGGACTGCCCAAAGAACAAATTGATTTATCTTGAACGAAGTACAGCTAGAATTCTTTGAAGCCAGGACAGCGAGATTTTTGTCTCACTTACTTCTGGCGTGTTAACAGAAGGGCTAGTCCATGTAGAATGACATCATGCTTGATACGATAGAGGGTCTGTGAAAAAGAGGAAGACCCTCAAAAAAAAAAAAAGAGGAAGACTCTCAGTGTAATGCGTTGACACAGTGTCTACAGACAATGAGTTTAAACCTTGTTGTTGTTTTGTGTACCTTCAAGTTGGATCCGACCCATAGTTGACCCTCAAGCAGTTTTTCAGAGGCATAAATTTCACAGGAGGAAATTGCCCATCTTTTTCCTGAAGAGCAGGTGGTGGACTCAAATCACATACCTTTCAGTTGGCAGTACCGTTTCTTAGCAAGGACTTCTAGGATCGTGTAGGATTGGACACGATTCTGTTCTGTTGTACATAGGGTTGTTAAAAGTCAGAACTGACTTGTCAACACATAATGGCAACGCATAACTGCCTCACTACTCCTTCCCAGCTCTTTATCTCCCATGTCTTCCAGTGTTAAATCTTTGAACTCTTTTTCTTTCTATTGCTATTCCTATTCTTTGCTTAAACTCATTATATGCCTAACCCCAATTCAGTCAGACAGTTCACCAATTCAGCTCTTCCTCTCTCATCACATCTTATGTGGAAGCTGTTGGTGAACTGTGTATTTTCTAGCTGAGGTGATCTTTCAGGTTAGAAAATTCATTTACAGAACTATTCCATTAGCCAAGGTAAAACCAGCTATTGTAGCAAATAAAACTGAATCTCAGGGGTATAAAATACAATAGAAGTATATTTCTTGCTAATGCAAAGTCCAGTCAGTGGTGAATGTAGGAGTGGATGGTTTTTTTCTCTATTCAAAGGCCAAGGCTGATGTGGGCAACAAGAGTGTTATATGATGTGACTCACAAGATGGTACTGAATATCGTCTGCCCAGAGGAGAAAGAAAGTGTATGAAAGGTCACCCAGGAGGTTTGTATGGGCAAGGGACAGAATTAGAAGTGACTGTTTCACTTCTTGCCATGTCATTGGTGAGAACCTGGGTACCTGACCAGATCTTACTGTAGGAAAGAATGGGAAAGGTAGTATTTGTATTTGGTTAGGATGAAAAGGAATAACCAGTCTATGCTACACTTATATTTACAGATATTTAATGCTTTCCCTTTTATGACACTTGCTTTCAGATTTAAATGAGTGGAAGGGGCACAGAGCAGGTGGGGATGTGAAGGAGGGGGTCTTTTCATTTTTCTAAGTGGCTGCATTGCAGTCTTAGGTTAGGATGAGAAATGCCTGCATTCTGTGTTCCGAAGATACCTAACAATTCTACCATCTTCTACTTACAGGGAGATTAATGCACGACTTGATGCTGTATCTGAAGTTCTTCAATCAGAATCTAGTGTGTTTGGTCATATAGAAAATCATCTACGTAAATTGCCGGACTTAGAGAGAGGACTCTGTAGCATTTATCACAAAAAAGTAAGTCTGATGGGAAAGTGTGTTTGTTAAAGCTGATAATATCCCTTGGTTTAAAACTATAGGATACAAAAGGAAAACTTCTTGGACAATTGATTTTATTGTTATTTTTACTTTAAGTTTTGCTGAAACATCAGAAACTTTAATTATACAGATTAAAAGTATTTCAGTTTTTCTGCTCACTTATCCTAACCTACACCAGTAAACCTCAGTTCATGGTGACCTTTTCTGGGTTTGCGAGACTGTAAATCTTTACAAGAGGAGACAGCTGATCCTCTCCCACAGAGTGGCTGATGGTTTCTAACCCTGATCACTAGGCTATTTGTTGTGGTTCTGTGCTGTAGAGTCGGAACCGATACATAGCTGACTCTCAGGCGAGTTTTCAGAGGCAGTTAATCGCACAGGAGATTGTCCATCCTTCTCCTGTGGAGCATCTGCTATCTTTGAACCATGTCCTTTTGGATTGCAATGCAGTTTCTTTCTTTTTTAGTAATTTTTTTATTTGATATTTTAATGAAAGTTTCCAGAAAACTTGCATTTCCATTCATTTCATTGTTATTGCCAGTAGGCCAACAGAGCTGAAATACTGACCTGTAGCAGTGCATATTAATAGGTTTTACTGCTATCAAATCTCATTACTTATTACTTTTGTATTGGAACTGACTCATAACTGACCTTCCGGTGGGTTTTCGGAGGCTGTAAATTGCACAGGAGGAGGTAGCTCATCTTTTTCTCTCAGAGCAGTTGGTGGATTCCAGCCAACAGGATGCTTAGCAGGGGGACTCGCCAAGGAGTACCACATGAACTTCCCTTTTATACTGTACTGCAAGCTATTCTTTTATATCATCCTGTAAGTACAAACCCTCAATAGTATAACACAATGATTTAGGTTTGCTGTTGTAGGAAAGTGACGTTTTATTTAGTTCTTTATTTAATATCAGAGCAGCTCCTCAGGCTGCGATGTTTGTGATAATAATTGAATACAGATGAGCTTGGATGTTACATGTGAATGAAAAGTATCTTTATATATTTTCATTACTTAGCCTATTAGTCATGAAAAATATTGAGGTGTTTTTCCCACTCAGGAAAATAGCTTTATATTCAAGATTAAAATTTCTAAAATGAAAAGTTTTTCTTTTTAATTGAAATAAAAAAATCAATAACAGTGTTCATAATAATTGTTAATAAACTTTTTATAGTAATTTACCTTTTCAGAAATCATTTACAGACCTCATCCTTTTGTTGCAAAACCTTTGTGAGGTTGACAAGGTACTCTGTGCACCACCTTCTTACAATGAGATATGATTTTGAGAGAGGGTCAATTCCTTCATAGTAAGTGACACCTGGAATTTAAATCCAGGATCCTCAACTGCCACTTCTCTGGAGTTATCAGTGGAAATGTCATTTGGACACTATTGTTTTGAATGTAGGTGTTTTGATTGCATTTTTCTTGATTGTCACTTTTCATAGGCAAAGGTTATCTTTTGCCCAAAAGTAAACCCTTCCCAGTTTATTAATTTTGCTTTAGAAAAGTTTTTATATACCCAAATTCTAGGAGCAACCAAATTTTTATTAGTGTTTATTAGTGTTTACTTTTTTGAGCATTGCGCCACAGCTTCTTGCCTCTAGGACGCCAATGCTCCCACTAGTGTTTACTTTTTTAAGACTTTTTTTACCCCTAAAAAGTTTTATTGGAATGATAAGTACTGCTTTTGAGGATACTTGAGTGCCCACAAGGACTTATGTAACTGTTCCATATGCTTCAGTTAAATTTGAAAATAAAGTGCAAGCTGGCCAGACTTGTGAGTACTAATCTAGAGGAATGTGTGAGTTGCTTGTGAGATTAGCAAAATATATTGTATGATTATTTGGGAAAGGGTGCTTCTGCTATTTTGCTGGTGGTTGCAGAAGCTGTGCAGGTAGTTGAAAGTTGTGGTTGCCATATTTGAAGTTACAGAGCTGATGTGAAACCATTTGTTATTTTTCATCTGTGGACTAGGGCCTGACAATCATTGTGTTTTATCCTTCAACAAGCAGTGGATCTCCAAGCACCTGCCTTCAGTATTTGAAAGAATTAACTGACAAATATCAGTAGTTCTTGTTTTACTTAAGAGAACAAAAAGATGCAAAGCTGAGCATTTTTTAGTTGTCTCTCAAAGTGCCCATTCAGTCTGTCCATGACGTCAGGATGGCAGGCTCATTCCGTGCTGCTGAGATTTTGTTGTCCTCTTGAAAGTCTTCAATATACAGATCAAGAATGACTTTTATCTTTCCTAAAAGTATTTACGACCCGTCTTACTGTTCTGCAAGAATGTTTAAAGATTGGGTTGAAAAGAGTGGAAATGATTTGGTAACAAACCAACTTTGGGGAGGCTAAATTTTTTTTTTTTAAATTTAGGTTGTTTATTTTTCATTTCAATGAACATCTACAGAGATTTTGGGATTCCATTTATTCATTGTTGCATCCTTCTCCCCGCACAAACCCCTCCCCCCCCATTTGCTCCTCTCCTTGAAAAGCAAAAGAAAAACTCCCTCATTGGAACAAAATCCCCCCGCAACTCCCCAAACCCCACCCCCTACCCCCAAATATAATCCACTCTAAATATTTTAAACCAAATTTTGATAGATTAGTTAACTGGCTTTTGGAATACACCATCAGCCATGTGACTGCACTTTACCATTGTTCTTCTTGTTGCTGATTGCTGTCCAGTCGAGCACGACTCATATGAACAAAAGACTTGAAGCCTTTATATAACTTTTGTCATTTCTCAAAGTTCTTAGTTTCCAGGGGCATGTGGTTTGGGAAGTGGATGCCGGACCTGCTTCCAGGCACTTTACTATTAGCCTATTCTAAATAAGCATCGGCTATCTGAATGATATACTGGGTGCAGAGTGTTCCAGGGAGGTGAACTTCATAGAATGATAAAGAAGGCTTTGTCTGAGTGCTTTGAAAGTGGTAAACCTACACCATATGGCTGTTCAAAGTGCCATAGAATATGCACAAATTGTATTTTTATAGTGATAATTTTAGAAGATCCCAAGTAGGCTGACCTTAGTACTTTTTAAAAGTCTTTTCTTTTGCTGATAAAACTTCAAATGTTAGAAAATATTGTTAGTCACAGGAACCCAGTATCATTTTAATCAGGAACAATTTTATAAGATTATTACACATAACTGTTTAGTTGGATGAATACAGTTTGATAAACTGTTTTATGAACTATTAAGTTTGATGAGTAAAACATTAGTGTGCTTCCAACCCAAAACAAGTGGTTTGAATCCACCTTGGGAGAAAGATGTGCATTCTCCCCCATTACAATTTACAGCTTCTGAAAGCCCACTCAAGGGTCAGCAGTGAGTCAGTTCTTACTCAGTGTCACATAGCAACAATATCACCTCCTAGTTGATAGTATATTCAAAATTTCATTGACAAAAACAATTTCTTAGGCTAGCACAAATCCAAAGCCACATTTTTAGTATAATACTTAGACTGGAGTTCTCCCATTCCTTTGATGTCTTGCCTCTGCATGTTTGTTAAGATTTCTTCTTTACCTTTGCTAAAAATTTGCCATTAAATGATTTCCAGGCACCACATTTATATCCTAACACAGTCTTGCCCACAAGAGGGAATTCCTTGCATAAAGTGATCTTTGTGAAGAACAGGTACAACATTTGTAATTCAACTTCAATTCACTTGAACCTTTCTTATTTTTCTGAGCAATAACTTTTATTTCTTATTATTGGTAATTATATCTTAAAAATGTCTTTACTATCATTCCATTTTATTATCATTTTTTGCCGGTTGCTTAACCACAAAACTTCCTCTCATACCAAGATATCTATTTTCATTGAATATTCTATGAGTTATTTTCTTCAGAACTATCCTCTAGAGCCTTCTGGCCTGATATAATCTGGCCTGACTGGTTTCAATACTTGTATAGTTATCATTTTAGATACCTCCCCCGCCTAAGTTGAAATTTCTGTTTTCTTAATCCTGTGCCTTCCTCTTAGCTTGTTAATTAAGTAGAGTATATCTTCTAGAAAATTCCTGAGAAAGATGTTGGAAGTAATCATTTAAATGCGTATGTCTGTAAATGAGTTTTTTTTATGCTCACATTTGAGTGATTGGTAGGTATTATAAGCTGGGTATAAAAGTCCAAGCTTTAAATAGTTTTCTTTTGGAATTTTATCTTACCAATTATTTTCTTAGTTTCTGTTATTACTGTTAAGTAATTCTGATGTGTGGTTCTTTGTGTAACTACTTCCTCTCCTGATAATTGGAAAGTTTTCTCTTTGTTCTTAGTGTTCTGAAACTTCATGGTAATTTGCTTTTATTTTGTTCCATTTTCATTCAGTGGATTGGCTTTTAATCCAACTATTTAAAATATTGCTCCAACTACTTTAAATTTGAATTAATTGAATTTCCTGGATTGATTATCTATCTTCGGTATATTCTGTAAGTTTTTTCACCTCTACTTTTTATTGGTTTTAATGTCTGAAAGAGTTCTACTTTTATATAGAATTTTTTATTTCTGCTATTATGGTTTCATTTCTAAAAAAATTTGTGTGGTTCTTTCTAAATCTTAATTTTTTTTCTTTTTAAAATGACATCCATTTTTGTTTAATGAGTCCATTATCATCTGTTTCACTGAAAATGTGTGTAATTGATTTTTAGAGGTTTTCTTCTGGATTTTCTCTATTCTTTCTAGGTTTGGTGATTGTCTTCGCATTTGGAGCTAGGTTTTTTCCTTGGATGTATGCTCATTTTTGAAGAATAGTAAACAAAAATGTTCATAGGAAGATGTATATGGTTGATGTGACTGTAATGTGAACTTAATAGATCATTTATTGGTAGAAATTTTGCTGTATGATTGCTTTAGAATTTTTCTGTTGGACTTGTGAAATACTGTATTGACACTTACAGCTTCTTGATTGACTGTTAGTGTTCTGATGAAATCAGATGAAAGCAGACAGGGGATTATAGTATATATTTACAACCATTTGAA